TATGCCTGGTTATAAGTAGTAAAAATAAATGTGTTTGAAGGAAGAGAACTTGTTCGTGTTAAAGTAAGATTTAATTCCCTTTCTCGCCGATTCATTCTCGAAAGTTTTTCAGAGCTAGGTGGTAAACCAAGTGAGCTACAACTTGTTTGGTAACAAGCCATCATGTCGTCAAGGTCAGTTTAAAACCTTTCGTTTATCACATATACGTCATTTTCTAGCTTTATAGTCGTACGGTTTACTTGATGTACTTACTTGTTCAGAGTTGTTCCTTTAAGCGTGTAGTCTGCGCGTATATGACATATCCACGCGAGAGCCCTTGCTCCATATTAGGAAGTTAAATTTGACTGGTTCGGGATAATCGGCAGCATTGAACCAGAGTTAAACGCTTCTAGGTGATATGCTTCTGGTGAAAGTGAGGGTACTCACCAGATTGTCATGTCGTTTTGCCACCTGTTGTAGGTTATTTGCTTAAAAAAAGGCTTACAAAAGGGAGGTCACGGGCACCCCAGGATCCCCATAGCTACGCCCCTGTTGTGAGGGTGTGTGGGGGAGGGGGATCGACAAATTTTACCTGAAACTAATTTTTAAAACTCATGGACGTTTTTCTTTCAGGAAATAACAAGCCACAACGAAACATGTCAAGGCAGCAGTGGAAGTGCAGCAAACGTTTGCTTCATAGAAGTTAATCTCACGTTGAAACATTAATGACGCCCTAAGCTGCTGCTTCTTTTTTTTTTTTTTATTTCGTCAACACTTACACTTCATTACATTAATTACTTACACTTCATTACTTAATTTTTTTAGTCAGTTTCGACTATTTATATCATTTCTTAAAACATTGCTCTTTTGTTTTGAACGTTAATTGTACGAAGACGAAAGACTAGATGTTGTTTCCTGCACAATCAGTCGGGATTATTCAAAACACCTTACGCATGATGGCCGTCATGTTGGTTTTGACATGAAAGTTGAGTGGCAAATTGGAATTTCTGAAGTGAAAATGAGTTTAAAAATGTGCAAATTTCAACTTCTTTCTTATTATTTCTGATAGTGTTTAGTAGCCAGGCTATGCTTCTCGTATGGCTCTATAAAGTACTCTCAATTATAGGCAATTTTGGTGCATTTCTGAAAACAAAAGGGCTTGGTCATATCGCTCAACTAGAGTAATCTAACCATAGTAGTAAAATCAAGATTTCTTTATTTTGCACAGTGTTTTACTTTTGAAGAGTCCATCTTCCGACAACTCTCGTCTTCCAATGTTTGGTTCTCGAAAGACCACATGGCTAATTTACATTAAACATGAAAACTGTCATGGCGGCTAATGTGAATGAGGTCTATTGACGTGCTTGGGAATAGAGTTTTCTCCCAAAGGGCTTCTCGTGTTTTTATGAAGCCAGTGACGAAAATAGCTGACCGTTTGAAGTGTAAAATCAGTTCTCGGATGTATTTTAAAGCGAAGAAGAAAGGCAAAAAGCAAATGAACTTTTAATAGCTGCCCTAACAAAAGAAAATGTCGTGTGCGAAAGCATCCAGCTGTGAAATGTAGGTAAGACCTAGGTACTCTTTCAGTTTTATTTACAACTCAACATGCAGCTAAGATAAATAACTTGAAACGGTAATTTTTTAGCGCTGTATTCAGTTTGTTACTTGGGAGTTTAGTAACCACGACGGCGACGCCGAGGACAACGTCGATTAAAGAATGAATTTATATTTACTTACGAATCTCTCGGTACTCTAAGGTCATTTACTTTGTTTATCATTGTCAAAACTATCACAAAAATAAATCTGGAACACAGCGATGAATTTGAAATAGAAAATTAAAACATTGTCCGCAGTGGTTCACGTTCTCCAGGGACCGCAGAATTTGGTCATTTCACGTTGTTGTCTTGCAAAGGACAGTTAAGAAATGTACCAAGAATCATAACGCACGTGCACAGCCCTTGTTCTGCTCATTAAACCTTTTGTTTAGCGACGTTGCCGTTGTCGTTGCCGTCGTGGTTTTCTTAAACTCCCTTATATCGAGTTAAGCCAACAGTAAAGTCTGATCGGAACAATGCTAAAAAACGAGAGATGTAGTAGTCATTCGTTTGTAACAGCTAAACCTGCGAATTGCTAAGCTTAGAATAACTTCTGTGTGAGAAATCTGTGTTCGTACCCTGTACACTTGTGCATCAGAAAAACGTAACGTTTATAAAGGTGTGTTATAATTGAGGTTGCATAAAAGTTGCGTTTTATTTAGATCGCAATGCAGTTTAGCTCATCATATGTTAACGCATATAGTATCGCTTTGTGACGGTAATTGCGTGAAGTCCGACTTTACGACGGATATTCGATTTTGAGAATGATATTTTTGGTGTAATCATTTCTGGCCTTCGTAAGTCATTACAAGTTAAGTATTAAACTGGAACCAGGGTGTAACTTTATATTGTGTATGTGAATAAAATACAAACCTGGAAACAGCAAGAATTGTGTACCAGTTCAATCTACAGTCCCCGCCTCAAAACAACTGCCGCAACAAGGCTCTCGGAGTAGTGGTCATAACTGTCCACAAAAATGACTCAATTGCAGTTTATCCTTGACCCTCATTCCTTCTTCATAGAAATTATCGACTTCATTTTCCTGCCCAAATTCCACAGCCACCAGACCTTCATGATGTAGTTGTGACAAGGTTCTAGAAGTAACTTTTGAGTGATCGTAGTTTCTGTCATACACAACCTGGTTATTTCTTTCGCCTTAACTCGATTCGTAATGCGCATGCGTTGTTTTTTGTAGTGTCACCACAAGGATAAGCAATTCACAAAGTTATCAAGACATTGGTTTTTAAGGGTATTAAATGTACTACGCATGCTCACTTCGCGTAGAAGAGAAGTGTACCACAATGATCAGAAACTTTATTTA